CCATGGTTAAATTTTAACTCTATAGATTTCCCAACATATTTTGTACGAATTCTCTTAGTTTGTCTCTATTCTGTCTTCTGTCTCTTTATCAGTTCTTCGTTTCTCTATCTCAATATTACTCATCTTTTTTGTTTATTCAGTAATAATTATTTTACCAAACTATAACTATCCCAGTGCTTCCACTCTCTTATAGAGAGGTTTTAACACTACCGGAGTTGGCCGCCCAGGAGATAATTATATAGTTTGGTTGTTCTATTTTAGACTTAACCTAACTATAGTCTATTATGTGAATTTATTATATGCTGAAAAGTTTTCTAAATAGTGTAATTAAATGTATATCAAGTGAGTGAGTGAAACATAACTCCTAGTGCATACTAACAATAACTAACTTTAGGTTCCTTGTTATATAAAACAAATAATGACACTCTCTACAGTAGTGACCTTTTGTTGTTTGTAACAAAGACATCAGTGTCTTTGTTTTATAGTATTACATGTAGTAATGTTTTCATTCTAGTATATACAAGTACATATCTAACATTTAGAAACTCTTACTAGTTTGAGTAGTTAACACAAGGTTGAAATACTTTTATAAACAAGTTGATTTTCCTGGTTGATTTGCTGACCTTGCTGCTGTTCACTTGTAAACATTCCTTTGTCTGCCAGTTGTCAGTCTTTCCTTGTGCTTGTATTTAGTTATCCCAAATAACTCTTCTCTGGTTGTATATAGTGTAGTATATCTTTATCAGCTCCAAAGACTAGATGTTTATAAAACTTCTCTGGTTAATTGTTGTTGTCCACCTTATGATATACTATATAAAATGAAGTATTTTTGAAGAGAAAAATCTCATGGTACTGACAGGAAGTCAGCCATTTATATGTGTTATGCACTTAGACAGTACGCCTCGCATCCAGCTGTACTGTCTTTGTGCATACTTTGAGGTAATCTCGTAATAACCTTATATTATATTAAGAAAGTGTGAATTTGTGTTAACACAAATAAAATGAACCAACAATGAATTTTAAAGTGCAAGTGCCAACTCTTTAGATACCAAAAAAAACTGTTGTTACAAAAGAAACCTGCAAAATGTTCACCATATATTTCCCCAAAAATGTTGATCAACACCTGCAGCCAACAAGAAAGTCTATGTGGACCAACAGTAACAAGAAGTTAGAGATTAAAAATACATATTAACAATTTTTTGTTGGCAAAATATTAAATGTGAAGTATCACCACAAAGAATATTGTTATTGAATCGAAAATAAGTTTATGAATACAAATACATCTAGTATAAATTTACCTTGATGGTAGAATCCCAAGATGCGGTTACTAAGATACCATTATCCCAATATATACTGGAAACTGCATCATCATGTGCCATGATAGTGTCTATTACTCTGCCATACTCTATGGAGTAAAGATATCTGGAAGACACAAATACAAATGAATGCAACTGAATGGATACTCTCATAGTATCATAAAGTATTACAGTAAGACGCAGTAAAGTATGTTTCATGTCATCAATTGAGCATGTCAAATAAACATTTTTTTAGGCTCTGGTCATAATTTCCAAAACAACAACAACAAACAAAAAATTAACTTCAATTACAATTATAAAATAAAATACTGAAAAATGCATAGATTTTGAAAAATAAATTGATGAGGAACATTACATTTTTTTACTGTGCGTACTGAGTATAGTGTATATTCCACAACAGCTTCATGTGAGTGTTATTGCTGTTTTAATCAATAAATAAAGTTACCAAAAATACATAATTTTCTCATGTACTGCAATATACAGTTGCTCGGTTAAAGAAAAAAATTGTGAAGCACTTTTATTTTCTCTATATAACTCCAGCCCAGTTAGCCATGATAAATCAAATATGGTTACATAATAAGCAAGCATACAAAGCAGATCAATACTCTCTGATCGCCATGCCAGGTGTTTGGCAGTCTACCGTATTTATGGTACATACTCACAGATTGTTGTCCCAGCATCCTACAAGTATTGTCTTAGCACCAGGCATGATACACAGTGATGACATAGCCATATTAGAGAGATTAATACTTCGCAATTGTCTCTGATCTTCCAAGCAGTACATTTTTAACATTGTATCTGAAAAATAGAATAGTACAATATAAAACAAGCCAAGCATGACATAGTCCCTGTTAGTTATCAAATTTAAGATATGTAATTTTGTTTATAGTAATATAGTTGGAACATAAACATGTCAGAAGTATGGATCCAGAAGATTATGATGATTTTTTAACATTAAAATGGTTGACATCTTGTATCTGATCGTCAAACGAGTACTTGTCAATATTGAGAAATATTGCTCTGGAACAGCATTAATTAAAACAAAATGGCCACCAGTCGACCATAACATGATGTAAAACGAATATATAAAATTTGAACATAATCAGTCAAAGCATATCATATATGGCTGTAGAAGCACATTCATTTAAACAAAACGGCCGCCAGTCAGCCATTTTAATCCGATCTGAAAAATAAAATGACGTGCATCAGGAACCCATAATCTCTAATGTATGTACCAAGTTTGAACAAAATCCATCCATAAACGCCAAGATCCAGTTCTGGGATGTCAGAAATGCTTGATTTTTGTTGATATTTTAGCACAAAAATGGCTGCCATTTGGCCATTTTGAATCAGATAGTCAAACCAATATATCTATGTCATGATGTACAATGAATATATAAAACATAATCAATCAAAGCATGGCAGAGACAAGAACTGCATTCATTAAAACAAAATGGCTGCCTGTTGGCTATTTTAAATTTGACCGGAAAAATATAATGATGTGCATCAAGGTCCCATAATTTCCAACGTATGTACCAAGTTTAAACAAAATCCATCCATAAATGCTTGATTTTGATGATTTTTTTAGCAAAAAAATGGCCACCAATCGGCCATCTTGAATCAGATCGTGAAACAAATTGATGTGCATATGCATAATATTATGTATGATGTATGTGTGAAGTTTGATTGTGATTGGTCCAGGCTTGTCTAAGATACATGTCCGGACATACACACGGATGCACGAAGGTCAAAACATAAGTCCCTGTTTCCGGACTGCGTCCGAACGGGGACTAAAAAGATATGATATATTATTGGCAATACATTGCTTGATATCCATGATACACCTTAAATGTGTCTATACTACCAGATTAGTACAAAAGCTGAATGTTGGTGTCAATCTCACAACCCTGCTCATGACGTAATCGAATATGAATATTAAACTATAGGATTACCCTACATCCCTCAACATTATATTACAATATCAATACCAAATAACTTTATCATTCATGTTCATGTTTCATTTCTCTGAATTGAACATCTTTGTGAGTAACCAATAATATGCTTTATAATGTAATCCGTACAGTGATTACTATATTTAGCATTGCATATGGACCTGAAATACTCAATATCTTTCATAACTGTTAAACATACCGTGTGATGCTGATACTATAACTTTGCAGTCTTCGGACAGCTTGACACAAGACACAGTACTGCAAATTAAAAGAAACATTATACAATGCTGTAAACACAAGTAACTGTAAAAATTGTACTTGTTGAAGCCAGACATTTTCACACATAAAGTGCCATGTCGTTATGCAGCATACATACAAATTCAGTGTAAAAAAAACAATGTATTTTTAATATGCACATTTATAACATTGCCCATACCAAACCCGATGAGGAACAACAGTCACCACCATTTAATGATTGAAGGTGTTCACAGATGTTTCATGACTTGACTTGCATATTAAAAAAAAAAAATCGATTTCCATTTTATCCACGACCTTTGTAAGAGGCGTACTTTCACAAGGAATACAATATATAAGTGCACAACAGTTATACATATTTCAGCTCAGCAGGGACATCTCAGAAAACAAGTTTATAAAAGAACTTGAAGTACTATAAATTACATGTTGAGTACCAATACAACCAAGGACAGAATAGCGTGTCCATTGCATGAATGCCGCAAGTCTGGAGATACGTGCAATAACAAGGTATCTATACTGTGTTTGAGTTTAATATTTACTGCCATGTTTCATCTCGAAGATAGTGGTTTCTGATTTTACTTACTTTATAGGAATTACTGTGGAAAGCATCAACAACAATTGACACAACATAACACATTGCTCTTGGTACATGTGCATGACAAGCATTCTCGCAGTAGAAATAGAAATGTATGCTATTCTGACCTTGGTTGTAATTCAGTATCGCTTTCAAATAATATCATTTAGTTGAGCTTACTTACTCTTTATGTAAACGATGATCAAAGCAAGGATGTAGATGCTCCATATCATTCCAGTTACCAGCACTGGTTGTCATAGCAACACCATCTACAAGTGATTCACTACATTCTGGTATGTCACCTACAACAGGCCATATTATAATAATTATTTTAAAAAGTCATCAATGTGTAGCCATCTATCTGCCCTGCTAATAATTGTTCGATATGGGACTCCTAGCGAAGTACACAACACATGTAAAATATATTGTTTGTTTACATGAAATTCGAACACGCGCTGCGCGATGACCACCGCCCTTTAAACATGATCAAATTTTTTGTCATTTTTTCTGTAGTTTTTATAAATCTTTTAAACAAATATTCCTGACTCTAGCGTATCCAAATTACAACTAAACTTTATTGTAAATCCTACTTTTGTGAAAGCAGTTTGTCAAAGTCAGCATGATGTAATAGAAGTATAAGATAAGGGTATGCAACTTTGGTGTCCAGGGGGAATTTCATGCTCTGTATGAGTTCCAGGTGCATAACTTTGACCAGACGCCATGGACAATTGTTGGCAAAGTTTGATTGTAGGAATTGAAATAAGCTAGGTTATCATCTTATTGCAGATGGCATAACACATAATGCATGTTCTGAGAACAAACACAGGACAGAGAGAAAACACAATACAGTTCATAAACAGACTCATTAATTATTTTCTTGTACAGTACTGGTTATTTCTAGAATTTCAACTGTCTTCTGATTTTGAGATTATTGGACAATAGGTAATTTTCTATTCACTTTGAGATCTTGTGCATGGCGTGGGTCAAACGTCTGCTGCAAAAATGGCCTATTCTTGTGATTTCAAGGTTCAACGCATATCATATTATTTGAATAATCATATTTTATACATCCTTGGTGATAGTAAAGCAGAATATATTCAGTCCTACCTGCTCCGCAGTACGATTTATCATATTCTGTGCTTAATACCAAATCACTTGATATAAGTTTTTGAGTTTCACTGGCAAATCTAACTGGATGAGGTGTTGTAAATAATTGTTTTGGTATCTGACCAAACTCTAATATCTGATTTTCTAATGCTGCCCTTTCATTTGGATCTTGGATACTGCGAAAAAAAAAAGATTTGCGACAATGATACATTTTCTTGGCATTATTTGCTATCTGGCAATTACTTGAAAGTACTGAGTACTCAACTATGTAAAATATCATTGCATTGTATCTTCAATAGAATCACTAAATATCAACATACATGTATCACATTTCAATTTTGTTCAGAGAAGCTGTTAAAGTTCAGAAACACATAATTTTTTTTGTTTAATGTGTTAGTGTGTAATAAGAGCACTATTTACAATGTATGTTATACTGGGAGGGGGGGGGGGGTAACAGCTACAAGCTAAGATTTTTTTAACAAAATTTGGGTGAGAACAAAAGAAAAAAATTGCCAAAAGCGGTTGCAATTTGTTTTTATTGGTCGTTTTGTAATAAAACAGCTTTTACTGTACAACACATGATATTGGTAATACTTTACATTTGCATGTAACACAACAAAAATTACATTTTTAAAAAAAACAATGTTTTATCGAAAACAAAACAAGTAGTTCACAAAGTTTCAAAGTCTCACCTGTCCAAGTCAATTGCACCTTCATAAGTTAAATAATAAAATACTGTGAACAGGAAAATAATCAAATAATTATAAGCCTAACATACATGTAAGAAATATCATTTTTGTATGTTTACTATATAAGCAATTAGAAGAAGGTAATAAAAATATGAACATTTTCTGATCTACTGTCGAAATTTATTAAAACAATGTCTGACTAAAATAACACAACGTCTAGTATTTCTGTCATCCCATCACAGTGATGCATGGACAAATTTCATTCAAACTTCACACACATCATACATCATATCATACATATAACATGTGAATTTGTACATCCATGGAATTCAAAATGATTGAATGGGGGTAATTTTAGCGCTACAAATACATCAAAATCAAGCATTTCATTCATTCCAGCATAGGAATGTAGTTGTGCTTGGACAGATTTTGTACAAACTTGGTAAAGGCGCTGATCATCATATTGGACTTTGCACAGCATTTTGTTTTACAGATTAGATTCAAAATGGCAGACTGGTGGTCATTTAACTTGTATTGAAGAATTTTCCAGAGTAACTTACACAAAGATAGGATTACCTTGAATCAATTCTCCCTCAATCTACAATAGGGCAAGGTAAACAAATAAATGAAACCAAAAAAATGGTCACTGCCTGGACTAAAGTGCACACAGAAATCGTGACTATGCCAATAAGAGCCTTGATTATTTCTACGCTTAAATTTAACTAAAACTTGCCTCAATATATGGATGAGATATTTAGGTTACTTGTTATGTATATATCACTCAGTTTCATAGATAATTTGTCATAATTTAAATATAATTTCATAAGAAATCACAATTTACTCACAATTATCAGCAAGTTCAGCTTCAATACCTCTTTGTTTAAATCCGAATATTAAATCGATCCATTCATGTAAATGATGCGACACATAGTCACTTTCTAGAGCTTCTCGGCATTTCCTACAAAAATCTACAGAATCTAAATGAAATACGAAACAGAGCGTTAAAATTCATAAGAGAATATAGATCATTCCTAAAGCATTTATGGGGTCTTGGGAAATATGGTTTGAATAAGCGTGAATTACTAACAGAAAATATGAGTGGTGCAAAAGTTATAAATGTGTGACCCAAATGACAAACAAAGTGATACATACGCAGTACAATAACAATAAATGCAGGACACAAATGCGATAACATGTGCGATTAATGAGCAATGTGAATAATAAAACCATATACGAGATAGTCAGAGTGATGCACAAACTAGAAAACTCACAAACCTTTTGCCCATGGCGGTAATTCCACATTGTTCAACTTAACCTCATCTTGCCTGATTCCCAAATCTAACATTTGTCTATTGAGTAGGAAGTCTGATTCCGATTCCTGGTAAAATTCCGGTATAAGTTCCTTGAAATCAGTTGCACCAGTCAGAACATTGTGCCACGTCTCTTGAATACTATAAAGAAAGTGAAAGTGAGAAACACATGGGCATCATGGGTAAATTTTATACCAAAGGAGTTACAGTAGTTCTGATATGAAATATGAACAGTGGGAAGCCATAATTTATCATATTATTTTAAGAAAAACAAATAAGTCCTTAAAGTTGTATTGTTGGCAAAACTTCAATCCCATTCAATCCTGAGTAATGTAATAATCATAAACCCCCATCATGCATTGCTGATTCAAACTCTGCTCAGTGCATGCAAAACTAGGAAGTATGTATTGTGTGTTAACTGAAATTCATTCGAATGCAGTGGTACGTTGTAACATATTTGAGAAAAAAAGTCGTCCTATAAATTTGAAAGCTTGATGGCTATACAAGAACAAATTGGGATTGAATCTCAGAATAACATTAATGAAAAATGCTTCACATTGAATATTTAAATTTATAATATAGGTCTTTTTTGATCATCGAACACTGAATTCCAAAAGATTTGTGACTTGATTACACCCTAAGATTCTTAATCACAACAATATTCACAGAACTGCTTGGTGGTATTCGCGTTTTGACAAGAATATTTTTATAGAAATACCATAACTGATTACTTCAGAAACAAAATTTCGCCGAAAATACAATCTTGAGTAGTATAAAATAACAATTATTATTTCATTAGAATTTATTTCAATTAAGATTTAGATTATACTATTTAAGTCCTCATCATTTCATCTCATCTCATCACAACCACATACATATGTATAAACAAGTACTCAAGCCTCAGCTTCTATTAAAATGGTACAATGAAACAGAATGGATGCCGTTTCTATTTTTGGTTCTCAATTGTTCAAAACAAATAAGTGCGACTTCTATTAGGGATGCAGATTTTACGGTACAAACTAATTCTCAAACTTAATTCTTAAATTAATACTCACTATTCGCATATGCGTTTGAATTCAATGCATGGTTCTGTTATCACAATAATCTATACTAACCTATTAAACATTCTATCAGCGTGATCAAATTTTCCGCCTTGCAAACACAACATATATTCCGGTGCCACACGCACCAGATAAAATAAAACAAAACCTGGTGTTGAGTAATGAGAACCATATAAAAACTTCGGCTCCGGCATCTCGTGAAAACGCTCCTGTGAAAATTAATGAATTCAATCAACTTAAATCATAAGAAATCTTTACGCCATATTTCGTTTCCAAAACAAATCATAGTATTTCATATTTTTGATATAAAAGTGACAACAACTTCTTACCTCTTTAACCATATAAATGCTTTTCTTTCTAACTAGTTTTACAATATTTACAAACTTAATAATTTTAATAATTAATAATTTAAAACAATTTTTCAATTTGAATACTCATGCCATTTGTATAATATAAACAATATAATGTATAGTAACCTTTAACCTCTGAATTCTATCTTCAAAAAGAGCGCCAACGGGTTTACTAAGATCCCGAAATGAATCTGGTTTTGTCAGATCTAATTCTTGACTAGTGTAATCACTAATAACCCACGGGAACACTGGATACTGGGTTAAATCCATAAAACTACGATCTGCAAGACTGCAAGAAGAAGAAAATACAAACAGTAATTACAAGAATTTTTATAAATTAATCTATTAATTATTTGCTTCCTATAGAAGTCTATGTGTTAGAGATTGTATATCTGTATGAAAGACCAAGTTTTATACTAGTACCGGGGCATGTTGATGCGATGTGACACATCGACCCCCAATTAAAAACATCCAGAGCGTCTACTTCAGTGTGACCTCTAAATTTAATATGAAGTATCACTGATACACAGGGATAGCTATGTGATATAGTGATCTTGAAAAAAAACAACTACAGTTAGGGACATTTTGATTTGGTAACATGAAATTTTCATTTTAAAATACAAAGAAAGTGTAAATAACAAATGAAAATCAGGGGACACATTTTTGTTTGCGACTTCAGACATCGACAACAAGCACATACAATTTTATATATCCTTAAGACCAGCAGTCACAACAAAAAGAACTCATTTTTTTTTGTAATTTCATTTCGCCTTAACCTTTTAATTTAATTTTAATCATAAGGGATTGCATTGCCTCCAACTTTCATGTTTTTCACATTCCAATATAAATTTTCCTAAAATGTGAAGTTACACTCACTGCTTGCGTGTCAGTACAGAGACTGTATCAACTGATGCATAGCAGACATTGATATGGATCCTGTACTGCCTGAGTGGATACTTTGTGGTATCCTCATGATACCCTTATTATTATACATCTTTTCTTAACTTGTAGTAATAATTTAACAAAAAATAACAACCCAAAATGCCAATGACAAATATAGTTTGTCTGCGTCCAATGCTAACAAGAGGAAACCTGAAACGCATTTAATGTTGGTTACATACACGTACTTTAAAAATATTAATTTAGCGGATTTTACCTATCAGCGGAAATAATGAAATTAAAACCCAGTGAATAATTAATACATTTACAGTACTGGGGAACTTTGAACATTGGAACCTGAGTGCAAATACCGGTAGGTTTTGGAATGAATGAAGATGTGGCTTTTTACAGAAATAACATAGAAATTCTTGATAAAAAAAAAATGTTTTAAGTTAATGACTAACCTATTGAGGTACATGAGATATTCAAAGTTTGATATCACACCATTCTGCCACTTCAGTGTGATATTCTCTGGACCTGACTCTTGCACACTGACATCTGCCAATAGCAAAAAGAGAAACATGATATCACTGTAACAGTTTGGTACTAGAATGCAAAAAAAAAAGAATGTTTTGTTTCTTGTCCAAGGGAAATCAAAGTTAAACTGCAGAGCTCTTCTGTAAATACAGAAAATATCCATCATTGGTGTTTTATGAAAAATATCTGAAACATCAAAATCCCTATCTCAAAAATCCCCAAATCCCAATGGCATCCTGCAGAGAAGAAAGATAAGGAACCTATGCAAGCAGAAAACTCAATTCATCACTGAATATTTTTTTTCAATAAAAGCCACATAGCACAACATTTAATTAAAGTGCTTACTAGACAGACATAACTGTTCTTACAAGATCG